GATCGGAGCCAGGGTTATACTTGGCTACAGAGGTCACCATGATTGTAGGATGCGACGTTATCGCCTTGCCGTCATGGTTCATTCCGCTCCTCACCCTGCTTAGACCTCGCTACGTGCCTATCCGTTCCTAACCCCGGAAGACACTCATCTTAAACTAATCACTCAACTGCCGACAAAAGAGAGGTTATCTGGGGCAACCGGGATCAGCTAAGACGGGAGCGTGAGATGATCACCGACCGCCGCAATATTTGGAGGGCAGAACTATGTGCGCGTTTCGACCGAGCTGCTGCAATAGGCCCTCGCCTTGATTTTCCAACATGGAACCTACTTATCAACGCCACGCCTCTCTAGTCTAGGAAGCACGTACTAGTTCCGTCATATCCTCTTCCTCGCCAAATACTAACCCTTCTACCTTGCTTTAGAGCACCGCCGATCAGAAGCTCTCGGTGAACCTCTGGGCCGAGCTAAAGATCTTTTACCAAAAGCAGTTTGATACCCTTCAAAACAGCTAATCATATAAGTCTCCACGTCTGATTTAACGTAACTACATGTCTATAGCATGTAGCTACATATAAGGTTCTTAACAGTATATATCATTATCACAGACTATACTCCTCAAAAGGGAATATAAGTTCTGTAACTTACACGACCCTCGCTTGGCTGTTGCCAATCGCCACACCCCGATATTCCTCGTCAAACAATACCCAATTCTGTTTATTCTTTAGGTCGGTAATATGCAGAACGACTAGCTCAGGGTTCGATTTGCGAGTCTAGAGACTAAGCGCTAGGTTAGTTGCTTACTGCTAACAAAAAGTCATATGGCCATGTTAATATTAGTATGGAATTGCATATGGCTAGCTAGTCAACCCGTCTCCTTCTAGACATTTCAGCTCCGAAGAGAGCGAGGGCATTTTCATTGTCGTTATTCATCTCCCATGACCCTCCAAAAACGAGGTTATTCCGGAGATTGCTTAACCGCCCAAGCGAGTATGAGTCTAGCCTTGTATGCACAGGCAGTCAGCCACTACTCCCAAAATGTTCACGGTGTGGCCACACCGTTTTCTAACGAACAAATCACCAATCAATTTCGCTCACCACTTCGAGCTGCTGCGCATGAAATCTCCACACCATCATAAGTCCCTGTCAGCAGTCTAGCTCTGTGCATCGTTCTGCATACGGCATCCCGTTATCCTTTCCACCAGGCTATACACTACGTCTAATACATAGTAGGTATACTTCAGTCAGCTCGATATCTGTCTCCTAGCGTACGATTTCTCAAGTTAGGTATGCAAAGTGTCTATTTTCTTCGTCGGTTGCTTGAAGATGCCCTATCAATAACAAGGCTGCTACCACCAAATCTTTCACCATTGCTTAGAACCCAGTTCAAGGAACCCAGGTCGCCGAACGAGCGTTGCGAGTAGTTTCCTAAATACAATGTTGTCAAACAATATTGCGGCTATCCTTTAATATCTATTACTATCGCCGAATTCTCCATTTCTAACAGAGCCCCCCAACTTCCATCTATCAAATTGCACCGAAGGATCGTCCATTTATTTCCGTTTTCGTATACTTGAACCAAAATGGGTCTACATCCCATGACGCTGTTGTCTTATGCTTAAACATCCTAGACACCCTTTTCTCTCCGCTGCAGTGCAACGAGTTATCCTCGTCTCCCGATTATCCGAACAGGGTTCGGTCCTGCAAGGGTGCAAATCTGATCGACTGTCAAGACCGTCGAGATCCTCTGATCTGCGAGATTCCACCACTTCTTGCATAGCCTAGGGTCCCTGCACCCTCTTGAGCTTGGCCTGGCTATCTCATGATGCACCATCCCCACAGTAGCCCTCCATCAACCACGCACATGCAGTATGGATACGATGAGACATACGCAAGCGCTTGCACCTGTAATGCGTGCAGAACGCGTTCTAGTATCCGTCGTCTCCGCTGAGAGTACATGCCGTCGCTCACTAAACGAACCTACTAGTTCTAGGTTAAGCTCTTTCGCCACAGACTGCCAGTGGTCACATCCGATAGTCTCGGTTCTTAGATGTATCGTACGTCCGTTGGTGTTCGGTACCATCCTGACCCTGAGTTAGGTTCCTGGACGACCATGGTGTAACCTAACGCGGTACATAATCAGAGATATTCGCCCGTCTGCTAGATCCATGTTTTTCCACAAGAGTCCCTCATACAACAGGGCACGCAAAAGCAACAAACCCAGCAGTAGGAAATCATATATAATGCTGCACATCTACATGACGTGCAGGTTCTATCAAGGATGATACGTCCGCGGGAGGAAGGTGGGCACTATGAGTCTCGTATGAGAAAAGGCGGATTCGTCCAACCCAGCGGCAACGTTGAAGCCCGACCTGCCTATTTAGAGACAATTTGGAAGATCATTCTAATAAGTATAATAAACGCAAGTGGCCCCGAGAACTATGAGAGACATATGACAACATAGAATGTGGTGATATTGCCGTCCTTAGACGCCGGTTATGTGCAAGAGGAATGTCACTATCGACATAAGCAGGCCTTGTGTTATATAAGACTTGAGTTACATGTTAAGTTGGATATAACGGAAACAAAAAGTCTCAGAATCAGGCGAGAAACCACCCAACTTTGAGCGGGATATAATAGATCTATCCAATGGAAGCTCTTGACATTAGCATGCAGCTATTCGCTTTTGTCACATATATAAAAGTATACACAAAAAGAAGTGTGGTTATCCATATTTATTTACAGCTTTCGAAGTTCGTCAGATATCGGCCTTGGACGTGTATTAGCCTGCTTGAGTTACTCGGCTATCGAGTAAGTATATGAGTTCTCTGCTCCAACCCCAAACCTTTGTAGGTTCTCTTGTTAACCAAGTATCAAAATATTGGGGATTCCAGTTCCGGATTATACTATCTCGTCTACGACGGTGATTTACCTACGATTATGTAGTTGTATAGAGATTCTTGGAGCGGAAAGGCTTATGTAGAAAGAGCAGCTTATACCCAACACAGTATGTATATATAAGCCCGGCATATGTATGTAAGGCAAGCCGTCAGAAATCCCTGCCCCTCCCCAGTATATGTTAGGTACGTACGGTCGTGCGTAGTGTGCCCGGGGTACATACATACAATGCACAACCCATCCACGCCCTCGACCCCCATGGGCTATGCGCCCCGTCGTCGCGTCCACGGGGGACCATGTGATCGAATTCGGAGTGCGGGAGCATTAGTCACTTGGCTGCCGCGTGACGGCTGCCTAGGTACCTAGGTAGTTATCTATTTGTATGTGTAGATGTATGTATAGTGGGTATGCAGTCGACATGTCCCGGCTGTTCCCTTCGCTTCTGTGTTGATTTCTACATCTTCGTCTGTGCGCGTGGGCGTGCGAGGCCTCGTTCTTTTGGGAGGGATGGAGAGGGGGGCTGTATCACACTTGAAGAAGCGGCAGTCTGACGCCTTGTTTCTACGGCTGTGGCGCTGAAATTCGCCACCGTGGGCAGACGGATTGCGTATTGTCGTGTTTATTTAGTCTGCTTGTTCGGGGCGATTTCTATTCGGGGAGCTGAGGGGAGGTAGCCTGATACGTTGATGGGGGTCACGATCATCTGCTTGTTGGAGGTAATAACATGTCATCATGACAGTAGTTGGGTCTAGTTGAGGTAGGCGATGGCTTAGTTCAACTCTCAGTTGCTCAGCCTTATTGAAACCCTAGACTGCCTTCGCTGTCTTTGACGGCGACATGACCAGGCCAATACGAGCTACATTTTTATCCCTTGGATTGATATTCAACTATGTGATCTATTAACCTCATAGGAGACTTTTCTATACGTTAGTAATTTGCAGCTTCTTGCTGCTTTATAGTAATCTATAAAAAGCCACTTTATAAAAACGAACGTTTAATTGAAATCATAATGAATAACTTGAAATCCATCGTAGGGCACGTGTATGATTCTACTGCAGCTTTACAAAATTTACATATCTTACTATCAATTAGTTAAAGAGCGTGATTCGAAATTTCATAATCGCGAATGACTATTCAACATAATGACTGGACTGTGGCCTCTTGCGATAGGTCTTTTAAGTTCCTACTTACCTCTCCTATGAACAGAAATTATTTCCTTGAAACGACCAAGTCTTTGGTTTCGATTCTATCTTTATACAACAAGTCACTAGCTTGGCCTGTAAGAGGATGGTTATCTCATAGAAAGATCACTAGGTGCTACTGAGATCAGTCATCTATATATTGTTTATTGGACTATCACTAGTAACCATCCTAAACTTCAAGTCAAGCATCTCCAGTATTGGGAGCTCACATATTATCCTCGAGTAATTCATTGACAAATGTTATGTATATTTAGATGCGGAAGCTTTGAAGGAGCTTTAGAGGCCATTTATGAAGTCCATCTGGTGTTGGATTATCACGATATCCTCACTACTGCTTGGATAGGAAACGAAATATGAAACAAACTTAATATAATACATTCCCTTGAGGCTCAGAGTCAGTATAGTCTATAAATCTTTCTATTGAAACATCTATTCAACCTCCACTCCAGTATTTGTCTCTAGATCGATAGACTTTTGCGGCTCTAAGTTTCATGTGGCAGCCAGAATATTTGCTCATGATCCTAAGTGGAACGAGAAAAGAAGTCCAATAAAAACGATCGCTTTAATAGTAGGCGACCTATTGTAGTTTGATTGGTAAATGGAGACGAAGGAAAAAAGGACAAACCACATCATTATTCTCCCATCTTGCTACAATTGAAATTACTCCTTTTCATCTGCACTACTTTCGCAGTTTGAGTTCGTTTACAAACCTTCGCTGGAGAATAAATGTCTCGGCCACGGCGTAATACCCGTTCGACGTTCGTAGAGCGGGTTAATTCGGAATACGCATATTGTGCTCATCTACTAATGCTTACGATAGTGGTGCTGGAAATCGTAGGTATTGTAAAAGAAAATTGACTACTTATGTAGATCACGCTTCCTCAGTAAGATAGGTCTACAGTGCTACCATTTGACGAAATATTTGATATTTAATATGGCATCTATCTAATACTAAATCGAAGTATGTTGTTATGTAGGGAAGCCTTGTATCAGGGCTTACCAAGCAAGATATAATGATAAAAGTGCCACGATTTCAAACACCAAGCCTAGCCCGTACCTATCCTCTACCCTAGAGCCCATGAATAGAGCCACTGGAGAATCCAAAAAGAATCTAGCAAGTCAACTAGAAATAGTTAGTACTTGGAACATACACACATATGCGATGTAGAGCGACTTACAGGCGCAGGGCCGGGGACGGTGTACTCGTGGAAGTTGGAGTAGATCTAATAAACTATTAGCAAATCCGCTCATCACAGCAAAGGCCTTAGGTTTAGGAAACTCACGTTGGCGGTGTAACCAGGGTCGGTCTCCTTAAAGGCGCCAGGGATTCGCACAGTCGTGGGGTTGTAGCTACCACTGCCGCCAGACACCTTGACCTGGGCGCAGGAGATGTAGAACTGAGGAGTACCAGCCGGGTACGGGTTGTGGATCGCGAGACTCTGGATTCGCAAGAGATATTCGCCGTCCTCAATACACGACGGGATGGTGTACGAGTATGAGCCTATATAACCTTGTAAGCTTGTGCTTTCGTAAAATGTGTCCCTTATCACTGGAAATTATGCTTACCAGACATATCCCACTTGGCTTCGCCACCCGAGAAGTCGGGAGCTATGAATAGGAGTTAGTAATTGAAGTACTGAGGGCTTGAGCACTTGAGGTGGCTCACCGAAGTCCTTGATCTTAAACCATTCACCACTGCCGTCGTATTCCGAGGCAGCTCCCGGAGCCTTCGACAGGTAGCTGGCGGTTTGTTAGCATATTCGCTAGAATGCAAAACACATCAATCATTCCGTACATGGAGATCGGCCCTTGGTGGTACACAGGCTGGCGAAGAAGTCAGTTATGATACTACCTAGACAAGTAAAGGGAACATATCCAAAATAAGTTACATACGGTATCAAGTGTAAAAGTGAATGATTCACCGGCCTTCACGTCTACCGTCTTAGTATCGGCACCCTGAGCACCAACATTGCACCTCAGGTCGTTCGAAGTCAAATCTATAACGGTCAGGGTAAGCCGAGAAGAGAATAAGAGAGAGGATGTTCAAATCTTACCTGTAACAGGAGAGTTGTAGTTGCTGTTTTGTCGGACTGTTCAAACCGGAATTATATCAGTCTTTGCTCCTATTTCTGCTATTTCTGACCAAACGACTAGGTAAGGATTCTTCTTCGTGAGACGTACTGTACTCGAACGGGGCATATTCAGTGGCATGGAGCGAGAGCTGCTGGAAGATATAATGGGCAGAAGCGCTGTTGGCTGCGAGCGCAGCAACGGCGGCAATGTTGGCGAAGTTCTTCATGGTGGGCAAGGGGTAGCTATGAAGTCTAAGTTTGACCGTGACGATGATGGCGCTGTGCTTGGTGTTTCACAACATTTCCTAGACGGCAAAGAGGTACTTTATATAGATTATCAAATACCAGCGTCCCGGGATCGCGGCATCGGTGATGTCACCGCCCAGATGCCAATAGCATTGTTTGTAAGCGACTGAATTGCCATTCTGTCCTGTTTTCTAACTATTGGAATCGTGTTCCTCCAACCCGACATTTCAGAGGTAGCTCGAGCGGACCGTCGTTCCATCGTCGGCGATCATTGTTGCGACAAAGCAGGCCCGCTACATGGGGAACACATAAGTTTTCCGGTACGCGAGAGCGCGCGGCGTGGCTTCATGGGGTTGTCGTGGGGTATCTGTGGAGAAAAGGAGGCCGTGAGGTGTCCGAAAGGGGCAATACCGGAAGGACGTTGGAAATTCTACCCATTCGGCAGGTCGATACAACATATTTCTACTTAATATATAATACTAATAAATGCCAACTACCGTAGCCCACCTTGCCGGGTACGCTACTATTACGCGCCGCATCGGAAACCAGGGAGCATCATGCAGGTGACCCAATAATAGGAGAACCTTGAAGTCGACGGTTCTATGCTCATCACAACCAGAAATGGCCAAGTTATACCCTGTTTCTCGCGTTAGTTTTCCGATTTAAAGGCGCGATTGGAAAATAGTATATGGGAATAAGATGTCTGATGCTTGGGAACCATTAGTTAATTAAAAGGTGATTCTATTTTAGTCACTTCATGCGGATATATCGACTAAATATCATACCATAGCCAATGATAAAAAAAGACCCAGCTCCACCACCGCGGGCTCAGTTCCCGGACAATAAATTCGGACCGAACAGTCATCAACTCTTATCACATTATACGCAGGTTCAAAGATGACTTCATAAGTCGCTCGAGGGAATTTCTCAAACACATCTCCCCCCATCTACCTCGATGTTGACCCCGGTGATGAAGGCAGCTTCGTCGCTAGCTAGGTAACAACAAGCGTTAGCGACATCCTCCGGAGTCGAGCCTCTACCCAGCGGTATCAGAGACTCGAACGCCTTGCGGTTCTCAGCTGTGTTGGGCTTGCCGATGAATAGGTGTGTCATCCCCGTGCTTCCTACAACCGGAGAGACCGCGTTGAACCGGATCTGCTGAGGTCCATACTCGACTGCCATCGTCTATCATATATCACGGTTAGTATTCGCGATTCAGATAAACCATGCCCGGTCATAGGAAAAGGATGGCGGCGGCGGTTCCTCATACCTTTGTAGCATTAATCACAGCTGCCTTCGATGCATTATACCAGGTAAGCCTCGGACGCGGTCGAACACCGGCGGTAGAGGCGACCTGAATAAAGCTCCCTGGTCTCTTGTTTTCGAGGAAGTAGGGCACGATAACGCTAGTGGAGATATATACAGACTTGACATTAACGTTCATGACGAGGTCGAAGTCTTTATCCGTCACCTCCTCGGTAGGCTTATTGGCGTACGTCGCTCCGGCGTTGTTCACCACGATGTCAAGCTGGCCAAACGTATCCAGAGCCGTCCGAAGAAGACGTTCCCAGTCCTCGCGCTTCGTCACATCGGCTGCTGCGAAATTACATCCGAGCTCCTGAGCTGCCGCTCGACCGGCTTCCTCCGAGAGGTCGGCGATGATGATTCGGGCCCCCTCTTCCACGAATTTAGCTACGATGCCCTTGCCGAACCCTGACGCGCCTCCCGTCACGATTGCGACCTTGCCTTCTAGACGGGGAGTCATGATTGTGATTACTGCAGAGTCTCTTTGCTTATTGAAGCTCCCACGCAGTTATTTCTACGCGGGCGAGAGTCTCGTCGAAATTTGTCGATTTGTCAATTTGTCGATTTATGTTAAGTCGAGCCATCGAGTAGACGTTCAAGACGAGCTGCCGAATTCATATTACCTATGCTGCGCCTGTAAGATGGCGGCGAATAGCGTGCGGGGAACTTGGGGAATTCGGACTATCGTGAAACCTCGGGACTCATGAATGAAGATCCCCTTAGATTCCCCCTCATTATGAGATTCGAGATTCTTGCAGGTTCGTACGTCTTTACACATTGCCGTCGTTTTATAGTTATTTTTAGTCTTGGACAAGAATTATTCGTGTACGTTTTATATTTCGTACAAGTATTGATATAGTATAAGATGTTGTAATGGAAATGGATCATGTTGCAATTATAATCAGTTATCTAATATATAACAGATATGTACAGTATATATTCATAGGTAATTATACTATGTAATATGAAGAAGATAAAGAGAGATTGCTAGCTGAGATGAGAAGTGAGGCCGTACGCGATGCCACATCAAGCTTAGTGGACGGTAATTAAATATTCAGCTCTGGCAGTCTGGCAGTCTGGGGAATAGGAACTGCTGGGGAATGGATTGCTGATAAGTCTAACTAGGATGGTCGAGTTACCGTATCCTTGTATTTACTACCTAGGTATGTAATGAAAAGGATCCAGTTCAGAGATAAGAACATCATGTTATCAGTATCTCTACAGGGGGGCTTGTAGTGTATATACCTAGGTACTAACAAACTTATAAGCTTCGTAGTGCTCGTCTACCATTCTTATTCGTATCATCATCTTTTATGTCTCATCATTCATAACGACATTATTGACGATGGGGAGGCAATCTATTACCAGCGCTGGACCGCGCAGGTCTGCGGAGATGACAGCAGCAGATGACGCACTCGCCAAGATGGGTTACAAGGCCGAGTTACCTCGAAGTCTGAGTATGCTTTCGGTGCTTGGCTTATCCTTTGCTATTGGTACGTATGAAAAAAAAAGAAGAAAAAATGACAAACTCGTTCTAGCATAGACGAATACTAATTACCTGTCAACAGTACGTAGTAGTTATACTATAAGTATTTATTCATTCTAACAGAACTCTGTCTATATCGCATCCTATCCCGATGACGTCTCGTGACTCATATATCAATGGTCATTATATAACTGGATAGCTTCTGGATAGCTTCTGGATAGCTTCTGGATAGCCTCATGCAATGTTACTAACACATAATAGATGGCCGTTCCATACGGTCTCAGCACTACATTTTACATATCGCTAGCAAACGGACAATCAGTCACCGTTATCTGGGGCTGGGTACTGCTTTCTCTTCTTTCGACTGCCATCGCTGCTTCGCTCGCCGAAATCTGTTCCGTGTATCCTACTGCGGGTGGCGTTTACTACTGGGCCGCATTGCTATCAACGCCTCGCTGGGCCCCGATTGCGAGTTGGATCACAGGTTGGCTGACGCTGGTTGGTAACTGGACCGTCACCCTCTCTATCAACTTCGGCGGTGCGCAGTTGATTCTCAGTGCCATTTCGCTATGGGATGAGGATTTTGTTGCCAACGAATGGCAGACCATCCTTATGTTTTGGGCCGTTATGCTCGTGTGCTACTTGATTAATATTTTTGGATCTAAATATTTGGATCTTATCAACACCGTCTGTATATACTGGACTGGTGCCTCCATCGTCATCATCTTGATCGTTCTCTTGGTCATGTCGCCGAGCAAGAGAAGTGGAGAGTTCGTGTTTGCACACTATGATGCCTCGGCGTCGGGCTGGCCAGCCGGCTGGTCATTTTTCGTCGGTCTCTTGCAGCCTGCATATGTGCTGACGGGCTACGGCATGGTCGCAGCCATGTGCGAGGAAGTACAGGCGCCTGAGCGCGAAGTTCCCAAGGCTATCGTCCGTGAGTAATCTACAATTTTACACTTTCCTTTGCCGCGTGGGACTCCCTTTATGAGCGGATATATATCCTTATAATTCAAAGAATCATAATGACTAACTCTGAATACTATAGTGTCAGTCGTGGCGGCCGGTCTTACAGGTCTTATCTATCTAATTCCGGTCCTTTTCGTGCTGCCGGAAGTCCAAACGCTCCTTGACGTCGCGAACGGTCAGCCAGTTGGTCTCATTTTCAAGACGGCAACAGGAAGTGCCGGGGGTGGCTTCGGATTGCTATTCCTCATCCTAGGTATTTGGTTATTCGCCGGCGTTGGTGCGTTGACGGCTTCAAGCCGTTGTACTTACGCTTTTGCACGCGACGGCGCCATCCCTGGCTCAGGTCTCTGGAGTAAAGTCGATAAGCGGTTCGATATCCCGTTATGGGCTCTCACTCTATCGGCGATTGTAGATTGCTTATTAGGCCTCATTTACTTCGGTTCATCGGCAGCATTCAGCAGCTTCACGGGAGTCGCTACGATATGTCTCTCAACTTCGTACGGATTGCCAATCCTAGTCTCCGTTATGGGCGGTCGGAAGCAGCTAGAACACGCTTCATTTTCCCTTGGTCGTTTTGGTTTCGTTATCAATGTGACAACGCTGCTATGGATTGTCCTTGCCATCTTCTTATTCTGCATGCCGACTAATCTCACCGGGCTGGACGCCTCCACCATGAATTATGCTAGTGTGGTATTTGCAGGTTTCGCAGCCATCAGTATCATCTGGTATTTTGCATGGGGCCGCAAACATTTCTCTGGGCCCCCGGTCTTGAAGTCTGAAATGGTTGATCATGGTGTGGGGGTTGTTAGGGGACAATCTCTAGACGAGGAGGTGGGAGCGAAGGAAGCAAGCACGAAAGAAGGGTCTGATTCGAAGGTTGTAGGATATCCTGTAGGTCTAGCTACCTAAAGTTGATGAATCGAAAGGTAAACTACTGTTTCTGTGCTGATAGTCTAGACATTTAGGGGTCAATGCGAATGGCCCCTTTTTACTAATAGAGTTAAATCTAATAAAATCACATCGACGTAGGACGGTGCAGGATAAATAGTGCAGTATCGCAAGCAAATGTTGCTTCTCTTCGTGAATCGTTAATCTATGTATCGACATCCTGATGTATTAACACGAGGATCCTGAGCTTTCTAGGTATTGACCTAACCTACATAGTATCTGCCCTATACAGCTTTGGTACTAACGTGGGTGACCTCGAAGCCCTTGAGGCCCTCCGCGGCGCCCTGGAACTCGCCAATTATGCTCTTCCAAGTATCTGTCTCGCGCGCCTCCAAATGGGCTTGAACGCTCTCCCAGCCCAGGATAATAACTAGCACGCGGGTCTTCTCGCCCTTGAAGTCGACGTCCTTCTCGACTGTCCAGCCGAGAGAGGACTCGCCCGCCAAGCCCGCGAAGCTCGCGCCAGCCAGCTTGGAGACGAACCTTTGCGCCTCGGTAAGCGTCTTGGCTGCGTCGGTGTCGGGCGCGAAGTAGGTGAATAGGAGCTGGGCAACGGGTGATTTGCCCTTGCCCTCGGCACTATCCAACACGGTGGGCGGGAACGGAGTCAGCTCTGCGTGGATTACAGTAGCGAGCTTGGCTACGTGTGGTTTGACCTGGTCGATGAAGGCATTGTAGGCTTCAGTTTGGGCCTGGAGGGCTTGGTGCGACTCGATGCTGTCCCAGTCGATAAAGAGGTCGACCTGCTCGGGGTTCTCGTGCACGGTGGAAGCACGCACGGCTTGGACTCCCGGTTGCTCTTTGAGAACAGCGAAGAGCTTGTAGAAAGTCTCCACGTCTGTGCCTGGCTTGAGGCTGTGGAGGACGATTTCGGTTACGGGAGCCATGGTTTACTGATTCTAGTTGTTGATGTTGGCCGGTCACTAGTATGGGTGCCCACGATATAGCGTTTGGCGGGGACATAATGAGGATATTTATACAGCTGCTTTCCGGCTCCTTTAGGCATGATGGCGCTAACCTGTATGTCTATCCTATGTGGATCGTCGACATGCTAGTGGCCCTTCGACGGGGTATCGAAGGGCCACGATTGAACGCGCATGAAGCCTTGTAGCTGCATTAGGTAGGTGGTTTGTTGATGGATTCGACGACGGATTACGTCAGAGAGGTTGAGTAGCATTAGGACTTTATTGTCGCTAGGCGTCTTACCGTCACACCCCGGAAGAATCCAATGTATTATTCACCCCGAGTGTCGTGGTGATGATTCGGTGCGGGATACGAGGTTCACCCTCTGTATTAGTATTCAGCCCTGTAGTAGGAATTCTGACAGGTTGGTCTAGCTCCAGCAACAGTAAGACCAGGGATCACGTTCCTTCAAAAAGGACGATGGGATGGCGGAATCAATGGGTAAATTGACGTCTTTTAACAAACTTTGAATATAAGACAACCGACATCTCTTGGCACCCTCAAGTTTCTAGACTGGGCGCTAGGTGGAAAAGGCGGTCTGCCTGCTTGGTTCCATCGATCGTCAAGCGTGTAGTTTTGTCTCTTCTTCTATCCCTCATTATATGTTAGGTAGTTTACTTAACTAGATACATCTAGGTACACATATTAGGCTATGCGTGCGATACTCTTTGCTAACGCTGTACATATTTTTTCTTGATTAGTTCTAATATGACATATAGAGGCCGTAGCTTGAACTTCGACAACTGCTCTTGTAGCGTGATATTTCGTAAGCTAAGGAAATGAATCCATATAAGCGATCAGGGGTGAAATACCTCGCGTACGAACAGAAGCACATACTGCCAAGTATAGGTAGGTAGTAATTGAATTATCTTTCGTCCAGCTCGTACGATACCATATCACTAACGGTATTCCCAGACACCACGTCAAAATATTCCAACCTAGGCGCAAACTTCTTTAGAAGTTGAGCAATATTAGCTGCTTCTCTGGCTATCGCATCGTCTGTGGTAGAGAATGACGCTAGTTGGTCGAGCTCGAGTGACAACAGCTGGGGAAGCGTAACACCACTATCTACTAGGTTTAGAAGATTGTAGGTCCCGTTGAGCTCGAGTTCCTCTAGCCTCAACCCGCCGTTCTTGGCAACCTCTGCCAATGAAGATTCCGTGAGGTAGGATGCGAATTTCAGATGTAGGACCTCGAGGCGCGGCTGGGCTTGAATTATACTGGCAAATTGAGAATCCCCGAATCCTGGAGCTTCGACCCCATTGCCAGAAATGCCGAGCTCCTTTAACTTGCTAAGCCCCTGCGCTAGCTTGACAAGAGCCTCCGAGGGGATATGAATATGTCGACCCTCTATAGCTCTGTATTCCAACTTTAAAGTCTGTAGGTGAATACATTGTGAGCCGATGTTGTGGACTACGCGGTCCTGCACCGTGGTCAAAGGAAAACCTTCATATACAATATTCGCTTCTAGGCGAGTCAGCTTAGATAGATACGGCAGTAGGCTTGTGAGTCCGCCAGGCTCCGCAACACAGATGAATTCACGAAATTGCGGAAGGAGCTTTTCCTCGATGTCGTTCCGGGATTGTTCTGTGACGATTCTCGAGGCGAGTTCCGCAGTAATGAGTTCCTGGAACTCTAAAATTTCAAGGCCGGGCTTCGTAGCGAGAGCAATAATGACGGAGTCAGTCACGGCTCGGCTCATACCGTACATAACTGATATTCGCTTTAGAGCTTTGGCGCCATTGAGGAACTGAAGGAAACCCTCAGGGGAAATGAGGTCCCGCGGGTTGTCGATGAGTAGTTCTTCTAGGAGCGGGCAAGAAGCCTGTAGCTTGTCCAGGAAGGAATCCGAGATAGGCCCTCCGTAGAAAATAAAGCGCTTCAGTTTAGGTTGAAGATAGGGTTCCAGAGATGCGTCGTCGTTATAATCTGAGGCATCTAGCCAGAGAGATTCAAGGTTGGGGAATTTTAAGTCCTTGAATAGTTTATGGTGAGAAGCATCATCAGCGAAAAACTCCAGAGATACAACTTTGTCGGCATGAGCTTGTAAGTTCTGAGGCTCGCTTTCTGCAATTTCTGCAAGGGCGGAGATGGAAGGTTTTTCGTATGACATTATGGCGAGAAGCTGGTATAGAAATAGAAATTGTGTAATAATTAGTATCGTGGGCAATTGAAAGCTTTATGGTAGACATCAAGACACTTATAAAAAGTGGACATGCTCGAGGGTTTTTTTCATATTTGAAATACAGTCTACTTACAAGTAATCAACATGAGAACATTACAAAAGGTGCTTAAAATTACAAAAGGTGCTTAAACGATACATTGGTTTACATATGGTCTACTACACCCAACACCTTTTTGTCTTTGCTACTAATTCTATATACTGCAGAGGTAATATTCAGCTCTTCTAGTTTCACGGCACCGCGTCTCTTAGCTATGCCTCTAACGAAATTCAATCCTCCATATACCTATCATTCCTACGTAATATATTCATCATCGTACCATACCTTGACTCGAGCTGCCTACCTATCCTCTGTGAATCTAATAGTCCAGATATTCCTGGCATCTAAGTAATTCTATGTTTCAGCCTAAACAGACATCTTCATCGGGATCGTCTTGTGAGGTTCGTAATTTAGAACGGAGATGTCCTCTACTTTCCACCCATCGATTGAGCCACCACTATCGCGCTTGATTTGTATCTCTGGGAACGGACGCGGCTCGCGCTCTAGCTGTACTTTCAAGGCGTCAACGTGGTCGATGTACACGTGTGCGTCGCCCATTACGTGTGTTAGACTACCAGGGACTAGATCGCAGACATGTGCCAGCATGTGCGTCAGCAGCGCGTAGCTCGCAATGTTGAAAGGGACACCGAGTCCCATGTCGCAGGATCGCTGGTATAATTGGCAGTGAAGATGACCTTTCGGCTTCTCCTCCCCGTTGCTCTCCCCGTCCCTATTCTGTCTCGGAAACGAGACATAGAACTGCGCGAACATGTGACACGGAGGCAACACCATTTTCTTCAGGTCGGCCGGGTTCCAGGCGGAGAGAATCATGCGGCGGTCGTATGGATTATTGCGCAATTTGTGGATGACATCGGCTAGTTGGTCGACACCTTGGCCGGTGTAATCTGTGCGCGCATCGACGTACTCAGCGCCGAAGTGGCGCCATTGGAAACCGTAGACGGGGCCTAGATCACCAACTTCACGATCCTTGAGTCCCAGGTTGTCGAGGAATTCGCGCGACCCGTTGCCATCCCATATCTTGACGTCTTGCGCGCTGAGCGATGTCGATGATGTATTTCCCTCGATAAACCATAAGAGTTCGGCGATTACAGCACGCAGGAACACGCGCTTCGTCGTTAATAGTGGTAGAATCGGCTTGCCGTTATCGTTGAGACTGAACTTGAGCGGTCGGGGGGCGAATATGGAGTATGTGCCGGTACCGGTTCTACAAGGGGAGTTGAGTTTTAGAAACTTGCTCCTAGATCGCGAGTCCTTTTGCTATACTGGGTAGTAGACAGGGAGGATAAAGCTGTAGCTTACCGGTCTGGTCGACGCTCTCCGTGATCTAAGATCTCCTGAACGAGATCGAGGTATTGGTACTCCTCGTGCCGTGGTGAAGATGCCATCCTGACGAATGATATTATGTTTGTAGCCTCTCCAAAATCAGATTAGACTAATTGGCAAGCGAATGAGTCGAAGAGAGGGGGTTTGCGGATTAGTGACGAATAACGTAAAATGAAAAGAATATTTATTAGTGACGCGACGGGGAACGCGTCGTGTTTAATAGGCTGATAGGGTGCTTAATAGTTAGAAGCTGTCTATCGATAAGCATATCCTAGCGCGGGGTCACAGTGGGATGTTCAAGAGGTACATAGGTACATAGGTACATATTCAGGGGCTATCAGGGGTTGCACATGTACCGTTATACACATCTTGACCACCATCCGGACCCTACATATCTGCTAGAACTATGATTATGATTATGGCTATTTTCTATTTTCCCATTATCACGTATCTTAAGCGTCCGCCAATGTTTTCTTACCCCTAAAGAAACTGCTAAGCTTTCCCATCATCTGTCCCAATCCCCCGTTTTCGCTCCCCTCGACCAAGCCACCACGGATCCAACCAGGTAACTTAGTCTTAATACGATCGGCTGAAAACCGCCGGTCAACTAGCACAATGGCAGCGTAGTCGTTTCGGTGACGAATAGCGCGTCCGATGCTTTGATTTACTGCACGCATACATGCGTTCTCGTAGAAATCGCGAGCCGCCTGCTTCGCTGCTACAAGAGCCTCGCCTTTAGACATGGACGGACTAGTAGCCTTTATGCGCTCAAATGTGGTCGACTCGATGTACTCGATCCGGGCTTTCCAGTCCGGTGAATGGATATTCGGATATGGCAACCCGACCACCACCACGCAACGGCCTAGTCGGTCAGAAAAGTTGATACCTTCGCTCATCTTTCCACCAACCACACTTAACAATAAGGCTCCGTTTCTATTAAGTGAAGGGCCGGGTTTACTATCGCCTAGGATCGCCTCGCTGTACTGCGCTAGCACCTCGTCGCTTGATCCTCCCTTGGTCTCGCGGAATACGGCCTTCTTAGCTTGCAGTTTCTCCCATAGCGGTTTAGGCTGGCCGGCACTGGCTTCGCTCCATACGGATACTACTTCGTCAAGATATCCGTAGCTAGGGAAGAAAATAACAACACCATCCGGAACAGCCGTACAGATGTTGAGGATCGCGATTCCTAGCTCGTAGATCATCGACTTGTCACTACGCTTCTGAAAACTGAACTCGAACTCCACGTTCTTAGTATCAGTCTTTGGTCTCGGAGATGACAATGTCCAAACGCAAAGATTTGATGATGGAATCACGTGGCCGCAGCTGAGAGTCGTGATTTTATTTTGTGCCAAGTCCGGGAAAAGATGTGCCGTGTAATCCTCGAATGGTGACATGGTGCCGCCGGCAAGAATGACTGCTCGTGCACTTGATGCTATGGAAGAGAATGCGTGTGTGGGTGAAAGAAGGAGGTAAGAGAGCTTGATATCATCCTGGGAAACTTTGTGGTAGAAAATACGACCTTCGGAGCTCAAGTTGTTCAAGGAGACAAGAAATGAGAGGAGGGCATGAAGAACAGGCGTTGGCCGTATCGTAGATGAAACATCTCCCGCGCCCTGAGACTCGGCTTGCGCAACATATCCCTCGATTTTATATGCGAGTTTTGAGTCTTGTATGTATTGAATGAGTTTATACATATTGATCTGATCGATGCCCTTGGACCTCAGAAGGACGTTAGGGTCGACTATTCCTTGGTCGCTCTAGGATCATACATGTTAGTATTGTAATCCAACTCGATAATAATGAGAAATTTATGCCTCACCTTCAGTTCCGATGCGCTTTCTAGCCATACCCTTAGGCCATCCACAACCTTAGCGACTTGCGCAACCATGACTCGGTTTTCGCCCTTGAGCTTCTTTCCAAACTTCTTAACATACACACCAAGCATCTGCCTGGCTCGCTTTAGTTCGTTCAGACTGATCTCTGAGGCGTACACGTTAGCTACCGCATCCATGATATTATGGGCTTCGTCAACGATAACCACGTTGCCCTCCAGTTTGATACCGAGGGCATCCCTAGCGGTCTTTTGCAAAAGCAAAGGGTAGGGTAGCGTAATGATCTCTGCGCTAGGCACTGCTGTTCGTGAGGCGTAATACGGACACACGTGTAACTTCTTTCCAAGCTCGAAGAGATCCTCAATATCCGGGACAGTAGCAAGGGCGCCGTCTCGAAACTGATGTGTTAAACTTAGGTTGTCCGCATTCGGTACGAATTGGCACCTGTCCTTTGACTTCGGCTGCTGAAGCTCAGTACAGCGATCGTTGATCGCGGGAAGAGAGCCGAGACGAGAGACCGACGGATTGATGCAGAGTCGTTGACGGGAAGATAGTGGGAGGTGTTTAATGCCCTCCGATTCGATGCTTGAGTTATCACCAAGAAGAGAATCTGGTAACGATGCTGGAAATTTTGGTCGGCGTAGTTCCGAGATGAATTGTGTCAACTGCGAATGCGTTCTCGACGTATAATAGATCTACGATGAATTAGCGTAAGCCACCAGAAGTACTCGCGAGTTAACGCGCCTTAATCTCGTTTTCACCCATCTCTTCGCTTTCTTCTTGGGTTTGAAGGCTTCCTAGGCCTAGCTTGTTCATGAGGTCCCGCGTCTCTTTGCTGAATCCTGATGGGTTATCGTTGTCCTGGGATGCATCTTCGTCCTGGCCTTCATCTAACAGCCACTCATCGTCATCATCGTCGTTACCTGTCTTCTTACCCTTTCTAGCGTTACCGTCTTCTAGCCTCCTTCGCTTGGATCCCCTCTCTTCTATCATCTTTTCCTTGGCTCGTATTTTTCTTAACCGCGCCTCTCTTTCTTCCCATTTCTTAAGTATCTCGTCTCTCTTCCGCTTTAGCATTTGATCGACAATCCAGTCCGGCTCGTCCTTAAACTCCTGGGCAGCCTCAGTAACCGAAGTCTCAAACTTCGATCTCTTGTGGTTACGTAACCATGTGACAGCAGCGCATATGAGCGAGAGAGATTTCCCCTGAAGATGTTAGCGTAGAGAAGACTTAGACCTAAACATCAACGTACGGTGCCAGTTGGGCTCTCGAGAATACCAATTTGCCCTTCTCCTTGCTGTAAGATCTCATATGCAGTGTTCATGAATTGTTCTTGTACGTCATATGGCGTATATGGGTGATGGAAGTCGATTCCCTCGACTCCTTCTATTATCTCTTCCATATTGGAGGTTGACTGGTTGACTAGGTAGTTGACCCTGAATAGCACGAATTATTTCGTGCAGCTCTTCTGGTCAGAGCAAGTTCTCAACATGTAGTGTTCAATTATTTAAGTGCAGTGGGGTTTAGGCTTATGATGGTTAAGAACGTTAATTATGTCTCCGACGGCAAAACCAGCGAGAGCGTACTCATACACCCTTTGCACAAAAACTACACCTGCTTCGAGCCTCGAATACTCCGGGTACATCTATGCTAAAAGCCATCTACAAGTTCACCAGGGGTTATGCGCTCTTCAGGATAGTCCCTGGATATAATATGTGACTGCATACCCCAAGTAGGTACCTTAGGTATCTTCTTTACAATTCCAATGGAAATGAATAAGGGATACGTGCCGTCTTTGGTAGTCGGGGAGTTATCTGGTGAGTTGTAATTGTGAAATGTAATTGGCCTGAGACGAAACAAGTGCATGTACTGGGGTACATGAACGTTTACCTTATTTTTATATGTGTGGCTTATGGTGGTGTCGAGAGGTGAAAGTGGGGGTAAGCAGTGGCTAGTAACAATTCTTAGGTTTATGTGGCTTGGACTCCACAGCCGCCAAACCCTACCCAAAAAATTAAACGAAGAGAATTTCACAAACTCAATACAACATTCAAAACCCGCCCTAATCTTCGCAACCCACCTCGAGTAGGCAATTTCAACACATCACAACCAAGCCACTCATCCGACAAAATGCCTACCAGACTGTCGAAGACCAGGAAGCAGTACGTTATTACCGAATTCAATTCTTTATTTGTTGTTGCAATTATCGTCGCGCCGGCTCGCCTTTATCATGCCATGATTTTTGGATATTTCAATCGAGTAGTAGCGAAGAGGAGGGACAACAGGAGAGCACAACCAAAAGCAATGCGAATATAGAATCTAAGAAGATTGCACGATACTACTACGATAAATCCGTCAAGACGACAATTAAAGGCATATATGGCATCCGGCGCGACGAATTGAGCAGCAATTGATTTTATTTTTTATTTTTTATTCGTGTGCTAACTATTTGATAGCCGTGGCCACGTCTCGGCCGGTCACGGTCGTGTTGGTAAGCACCGCAAGCATCCCGGTGGTCGTGGTATGGCCGGTGGTCAGCACCACCACCGAACGAACATCGACAAATACCATCCTGGTTACTTCGGTAAGGTCGGTATGCGATACTTCCACAAGCAACAGAACCACTTCTGGAAGCCTATCATCAACCTCGACAAGGTACGTTGATTCTATATGTTGCTCTCTCTAGATACAATGAAATACCGAATACCGTGGGATGTCACTTCCTGTTCGAGACAAGGGCTTCGGAGCTGTTATAGTTCATATTTGGATATATTTACTGACGTGGTGTTTTGTAGCTGTGGTCGCTCATCCCCACTGAGACCCGCGAGGCTTATCTGTCCGGCGAGAAGAAGGACACCGTCCCCGTCATCGACCTCCTTCCCCTAGGCTACTCCAAGGTCCTCGGCAAGGGCCGAATTCCCGAAGTCCCTCTAGTTGTCCGAGCAAGATGGGTCAGCAAGTTGGCGGAGAAGAAGATCACGGAGGCTGGTGGTGTTGTTGAGCTGGTCGCGTAAGGATGCGTAGGCGGGATGGTTTCTATTTGCGGAACAAGGGAACGGATACCTGACGTTTGGGACGGTTGTAACTCACGGACCTGCACATATAGCAGGTAGTCTTCGGTTTTCTCGAGCATCGCATGGCATGATCGGATTCTACGAAAGGGAGTTCAGCTGAATACAAAAAATGCATTTTACCCAATTCAGAAGGCGACCTAGCGCCTAATTACGATTTTCAGGAGCTGGACAGAGAGGCTTGCCGAAGGTGCCTCGGTCCTGTAGAGTACTAGGCTAGGTATCCAAGGCCGTATGTACTCTTCCCTTTAGTGGATAATTGCTGCAGATAGCAGTTCTGACCGTAGTGAACGAGTACGGACTGCCTCTGATACTTAATGTTCCGAATGTGAGATGACTTTGAACACCGTCCAAATGCCCGGAGGTCGTAATCTAACAATGAATTTCACCATTTGCCACTCATATACTAAGCCAGTAAGGCCTACTATTTCCCTATAGACACTATAAACCCTAAGTTCTTAAATTAAGCGGCTTATGTAAAGGGTCAATTGGAGACTTCGTAAGACCCTGTTATAATCTTAAAATACATATGTAGTCGGTCATGTAAGGAGGACTAGGTACAGAATATTATGAGACAATAGGTACCGTATCTATTAAACTTGTGGATACTTAAAACGGACGAATCATGAAGGATACAGAAAGACTAATCTGGCTGTCTTAGTATGTAACAACTGCGGTTTGATATAACACTGGACTTAAATCTACATTTTCGGGTTAAATATACTACTTTCGTCATTTTTTAGATCTGGCATGTGATTATGGTCTTGTGTGCCTTATATTAGTTGTGTTTGGATCAAGTGACTCGATACGACCGGATAAGCCGTACGAGTAGACATGGCACTAGCAGCTCCGTGTTTCCCGCTTTGATTGTAATTGTAATTGGGTAGGGACTAATTAGGTACCTGCCTCCTACCTAGGTAGGATGTAAGGTCATTATTGTTGAGTTTTACCTTGCATGTGCTGAGAATTCAGTACATTATGTACCTACATGTATCCACATATAGGCGGTTCAACACGTCATTTCGGCGCTAAAGCTATCGATAATACACCTTGACTAGCCTATCGCTAGGCTATCGCTATTAATACAGGCAGTACCTACAGAGAGGTACCTACATGCTGCAACTTGCTTCCTGCAATGTGATCCTACAGTATGTGCGGTCTTATTCCAGGCTACACTCACATTCAAAAAGATCCGTCCACATGCAACACGCTCTCAAGTCACCTACTCATCCAATCAACTGATCCCTTCCCGATTCCAATCTAGTCATCCTTCCCCCCGGTCTGAGCAGTCGTATTTGACTGTTATGGTCTAGTACCTAGCTAATAATACTATTATCATTATCTGCCTCACATTGCCTGCTTGTCTGCCTGCCCATCACTTCGCTTTTGCCCAAGTTTTACCATCGCCTATCTCTCCGATGATGCAAAACCATCACTGAATCTGCCGCCTAAGTTAAAGGGCTGACTCCTGATTCGATACTTCAGAGTCTGGCGCAACTTGGGTCCCTTTGTCTTAAACCTTCGCAGGTCGCGGAACCGTGGCAACGTTGGCTTGGATAGCCGTGTCCACCTCCCATTCGCCTCTCGTTTGTGTAGCCTGCACCTGTACGACAGACTTGCCGAAACTAATTCAAGAACTTAAGCTCCGAGAACGGTGTAGAGGAGCTAGTAGCCGTTAATATAACATATAACCTTAGTTTATTTCCAGTTATGGCACCCTTATCGGAAGAGAGTACTACGCATCATCGCGTCGGCAAAAAGCTTCATAAGAAGCAAAAAGATGATCACCAGCCGACCATGGAGCTTCCCGAACGCTTGAAAGATCGCGGCGACGATGTTGATGAGGATGTTCTCTTGCCTAACCAAGGCGCCCATATGTTCATGAACATGAATCAATCGATATTCGGATTGATTGCCGCCGCCGGCTCGAACGTAGATTTTAACGACCGGTTCGAAGGCCAATCGAGCGACGAAGATGAAGATATTGATCGGACCGAAAGACGGAGGAAGGGTAAGGGGCGGGAACAAATTGCGCAGACTACAGTGTTGAAGAAGCCTCCTTCGGGGAGAGAGAAGGGCGACAAGCAGCGTAGGAGATTATCGGGACACCTCTTACGCTCGTTGCCCCAGCTTCCGCGCCTTGCGACGCGATCTAAATTTAAGCAATCTAAAACGTCCGGTCTCCAGCCCTCAGACTCGAGCGCCGAAGGCGAAGGTGATGGTTTGGGATCCCCAACTATAGACTCGCGCTCGCCTACGCTTGATGTTGCTAAAACCGACCGCGAAGAAAGACTTGCCCCAGTCATGAGCAGGATGCTAGAGGCGAGAGAGGAAATGTCGTCGAGGCCGAGCTTCGACATTGAGAGACTATCGGGGGATCATCGTAGGGACGACGGAGAAGAAGTCGGGCCCAGCCTGCTTGCTCGGCAATTGAAACGTATATTCGAGTTTGAAGAGCCCGAAGAAGTCATCGAAGGTATTACTCCGGCCCCTATTCAGACTTGAATTATGAACGTGGCTAATTGCGCCCTCTACCAGAATACCCTTGTTGGTTACTCCAAAGTGTCCTTCTACAGGGCTATATGTACATCACTGCAAAACACATTTGCTTTTATGCTTACTTGCCGAAGAAAGCTGTATGGATCTCAATCTTAGATATATTTTTGCTGCTAACAGCTTAAGCAGCACGAGGTTGCCAAATCTGGATACCTATCTAAGAGCGGCAAAAGGAACCCCAAATACAGCCGTTACTGGTTTCGTTTAAAGGGGGATGTGCTGGCCTACTATCGCGATCCGTCCAATCTCTATTTTCCCCATGGTCAGATTGATCTAAGCTACGCCATCTCAGCAAGCATCGATGAGAAAGAAAAAGACGGCTTGTCCTTCTCCGTGGTGACACATCACCGAACATATCACCTTAGAGCCGATAGCGCTCCGAGTGCCAAAGAATGGGTCAAGAGCTTGCAACGAGTCATTTTTCGATCCCATAATGATGGCGACAGCGTCAAGATTTCCTTGCCGATCGATAATGTTATAGATGTTGAAGACAGCCAGATGATCGAATTTGCTGACACGTGCAAAATTCGTGTCATCGATAATGATGAGACGTATGCCATTGACGAAGTAAGGAAGAATCTATTCGTAAAGAAATATGTTATACTAACCTCGATAGTATTTCTTCTCATTTTTCAGTTTTAGCAAAGAGGCTATCAACGTCCTCAAAATCCTGGTTGATGATGCATCGAAGCAAACAAAGTCGAGTTCGTCTCAGCAACAGAGCCAAGGAGGAGTTTCTCGACACAGTTCCGCAAGCCCAAAACGGAAACACGGCCCTGCTACGCTGGAACTCAAATCCCAAAAGATCCGCGAAAATGTCAGAGCGACATTGGTTCCCATGTCGCCACACAGTCCGCGAGAACTGAGCCCTGGAGCTAGTGGCGATGTGACCCGTAGCAGCTTTGACGCATTCCGTCAGTTCGGACGGCGAAGCCTTGATCTTGATACTCTAGCGCGGGATGCGTCACCCCGTCGAAGCTTTAGCGCTACCAGCAGATCACTGAGCAAACATCGTATGCACGATAACACGGTGCCGCAGGACAAATTAGAGTCCTCCGAGTCATATGTACAGTCTCTAGAGGATCCGAGCACCTCCGCTATGGCGTCTTCATCGAATGAGGACCCTTCCGGCAGTCAAATCCTCCGAGGCAGCGAAGTCTTTCATAGGCCTACTCTCCGGCGCTCTATATCAGCCTCGCGAGCTTCGAGGCGCGACAGGTCAACTGGCACGAGTCGTTTACGTGACAATTCAGACGAATCAATTGTTCATGATAAGCATCGCGCCATTACTACAGGACATTTGAACGACCTTAGAGTCAATGAGAAATTTGATGAAACGTCGACGGCTACGCCGGGACTGAACAAGATTGCAAAGATGGGAGCTTATCCGCTGCAACGAGCAGGTTTATTTGCCAACTACTTAAATCAAACCAGCCGCCATATGAGTAATCTATTAGCTACCGAGTCGATGGGTTACGTGGAAAAAGTATCAGGCATGTGGAAAGGTGGCCGCAAACATTATCATGAGGCCCCTGCCCTCAAACCTGATGGCGAATTAGACGACGACGACGGCGTCGATACGGATCGATTCCGCGCGCATTTTGCCCTCCCGGAAACCGAGAAACTTCAGGCAACCTACTACGGCTATATTGTCCGAGTGTTGCCGCTCTATGGCAAGGTATACATAAGTGAACGGTATTTCTGCTTCCGTAGCCTGCTGCTCGGAACCCGGACCAAGTTAATCCTGCCCCTAAAGGACATCGAGACCGCCGAGAAAGAGAAGGGGTTTCGCTTTGGGTATTCTGGCCTGGTAATTGTTATCCGCGGTCACGAAGAAATATTCTTTGAATTCAACAAAGCAGAAATACGGGATGACTGTGCAGTTACTCTGCTACGAAGTCTCGAGACCACTCGTTATCTCCGAGAAATTGGCATGTTAGATCAGGAAGAACACGAAGATGTAGATGAAGCGATGGCGGAACGCGACGCGCTTCATAAAGCACGACTTCAAGGAAATACAGAGCACGAACTAAAGCTACCCCACGAAACATCTTGTCTCAGCGATTCATCGCCAACAATTCTCTTCGACGATCCTAAGGCATCGTTCCTAAATTTCAAGCCCTCCGAGCCCATGAAGATCACCTGTCTGACAATCGGATCAAGAGGAGACGTTCAGCCCTATATTGCACTCTGCAAAGGGTTAATGGCTGAGGGTCATAAGCCTCGAATAGCAACACATGCTGAATTTAAAACCTGGATCGAGGGGCACGGCATCGAGTTCGCACCGGTGGAGGGTGACCCCAGCGAACTCATGCGTATTTGTATCCAAAACGGCACATTTACGTGGGCTTTCTTGAGAGAGGCCAACTCAAAATTCCGAGGCTGGCTGGACGAGCTCCTCGCATCCGCTTATACGGCATGCCAAGGTTCAGACTTGCTTATTGAGAGTCCCAGCGCTATGGCCGGGATTCACATCGCGGAGGCCCTGGCTATCCCGTACTTCCGAGCCTTCACGATGCCCTGGACCCGAACGCGCGCTTACCCTCACGCTTTCGTCATGCCTGAGCATAAGATGGGCGGTGCTTACAACTACGTCACATATGTTATGTTTGACAACGTATTCTGGAAAGCGACAGCACACCAAATCAACCGTTGGCGGAATAATATTCTCGGCCTACCTAATACCAACTTAGAAAAACTACAGCCGAATAAGGTACCTTTCCTTTATAACTTCTCCCCAGCCGTCGTCGCACCTCCGCTTGACTACAGCGACTGGATCCGTGTGACAGGATATTGGTTCTTAGACGAAGGGACCGAGTGGA